TTCCTTGATTATTTTTTACTCTGCTCTATGATGTGTTCGTTAGCTATCTCTCTTACGGATAATACCGAAGTATTTATTTATACTCTTAAATTGATGTGTGAACCCCATAATAAATTCCATCTTTCTTCCTTTAATTATTTTTACCCTGCTCTATGATGTGTTTGTTAGCTCTCTCTCTTACTGATAATGATGATAAGCTTTTTTAATTACTAACCACATAAAACACCTCAATTTAACAGGTGCCTTAGAGTTCCAGATTTGTTTCCATGTCCATGAGTAGGTTAGTTAGCATCTTTAGGATATAGAGTAGTATCATCTTACTGTGTAGATGACATTTCCCTTCCTTTTCCATATCATTTAATCTTCTCTATTACTGTAACCTTGGAGTGAGGAGAGGATGATATAAAACTCTCAAATTCTATCCAGTTCCCAGTCATTTAAATTCCTTTTGAATATGATACTCCAAGAATTACCTTTCCTGTTGCATGCAACTGTGAGATAAATATCCTTTGCAAGTAATAAAGAGTACTGGAAACTTATTCCCTGAGAGGTGAATGGCCCAGCCAATTGTCCTACCAGAAAGAGACCTTTCTTCCATTGCCAATGAAAATTTTAATTTTGTGCAAGCCTCTTTTTTGTCTCACAACTTTGTAGTCCCAGAATTTTGTGGATCCAAATGTGCAAGATATATGTGAGATAAAAAGAGGTCTCACACAACTAATGACAGTTGTGCAATAAAAAAAACTTGATTTTTTCATGCTCTACTCTTTTGTGTTCAGCTTTAAGATCGACATATGCATTTAACACAACAGTTGAAGCCTAATGATCCGAAAAATACTTTTAGTTCTAGCAATATTAGACCTATCAGGAAATCTATTTTACCAATTTTCTCATATCTTGTCATTTTGTCGTATGTAAGCGTTCTTTGTCTTCCATCAAAAGGCACACCCTCCCTTTACTCCTTCAAAGGCCACACCTCTTCTTCTTCATCTTAATTTAAACCAAACGTTGACTACTGTTCCTCTTATTTTCTACACCCCACAATAAATCCCATCTTTCTTCCTTGATTATTTTTTACTCTGCTCTATGATATGTTCGTTAGCTATCTCTCTTACGGATAATGCCGAAGTATTTATTTATACTCTTAAATTGATGTGTGAACCCCACAATAAATCCCATCTTTCTTCCTTTAATTATTTTTTACCCTGTTCTATGATGTGTTCATTAGCTATCTCTCTTACGGATAATGCCGAAGTGGTTATTTATATTCTTAAATTGATGTGTGAATATAGAAAACTATAATACTGGTGTTCATAAGATTAGCAAAACCTTATACTTCTTCAATTCCAGTAGCACTTGCGAACTAATTTTTTCTCATCTTTTGTTTGTACCAACTGTAATCCCATCCGGATCCTTTAACCATGAATCCCAAATTGTGGTATTGTTGTAAATTGAAATGATCAGGTGAATATATGCTTTTCCTTGGCAATATTTTAAAGACTTTTTCCTGCTCTATTCAAATGTGCTGTGCTTGAAGATCGACATATGCATTAAACTTATGGTTTTTTCCGTGCTTATTGGATTGATTTTGCTTAGTCTTTATAAGCTTCCATTTGTTCCACGCATTTTCACTCACAAACTTCTTTTCCTACATGACCTTAGCAACCGGAGAACTCGACATCCCTTCACTTTCGGGCAATGAAATCACTGTCTCCTCGTCATTAAATGAGTCAAGTTCAGATTTTGACTCGATAACCTTTTTCGCCTTGCCCTTTCCCTTCACCTCAGCTACTTTCCACTTCTTAGCCGGTGGTGGCTTCGAAGATCCCTCTCTAATTTGGAGCGGAATCTCTCTTGGCCTAGACGGTCGTGATTGACGTGCCCTTATCTTTGTTTGTGCAGGCTGCTCAGTGCTCAGATTTGTGGCCTCAGTGTCCACCGCGGAAGTTCCAGTCTTTTCCTTATCATGCTTAGACTTTGTTCGTGCCTCTGTATTACAGGTTCTGCTAAAGAATATGAAGTTTTCACATATTTGAGTTATAGGGAAATCTCACAAATGCGGATTGAATATTTTATAAATAAACAAGTACAACTGAGAGCTGACATATATAAAGGAGTTTTACCAGATCATTCATGCAAAGAATGAGTTCAAATATATTTCTGTATGTAAAAATTTTCTATATGTTATTGTCTTTGTGACTTTTGAATCCAACAATGACTCCGGATATATTTATATATACAAAGATATTACATATGTTATTACATTTATGTATTTTGAATTAGATTGTTGCAGATAATTATATTGTTGAGGTAGGATTTTATTTGTTTCAATAGGTTTCCACAATTAACATTACGTTTATCACAGTTACAGGTACACCTGAATCTGTTTCCATATATTTGAGGTTGCGGATTAAATATTTTAAAGTTAAACAAGTTAGAACTGATACCTGACATATTTATAGGAGTTTACTAGATAATTCATGCAAAGAATGACTAGAATATATTTATTATATCATTTTTAAGCGCTAGAAATTAACGTTAACCAACAAATTTCTGATGCAACACCCATTGATTGTTTGATCTCATTTTCCGCATATGCTGAAAGATTGACATAAAGGGAAAAAATTGAAGTGCAAAAGAAGTTGATAATTAAAGGTACAATTTTAACTCTCCACCCCCAGCATATGAAGATTTTCACTTCTACCGACCTTCCCCGTGTGCCATCTCTATCATGATTCCCAGAAAACTGTAGATGGCTAACTTTTCGGTATTATGTAGTTGTCAACGGACAACCTATCTTTCTTACCTTCGGTGGTTTATTGCTATTTATTTCTATAAAAAATACAAATTATAATCAACTATAAAAGAGTTGGAATACTGATACCATATTTTCATTGGGAATAGTTGGATGATATACTTAATTCTTTGCAGTGAGATGACGATTTTGTAAACTTTTATATTTACTTTTACAATGGTGTGAAGGAACGAGGATTCATTTACAATTAAAAATATTACATCGGAAGCTTCAAAGATTACATGGGAAAGTGGATTGCCAATGTGATATGACAGCTCT